AGCTCAAAATAAGTCAAAATATTTGGAAAATGTTATGGCTTATAGAAAATGCTAGTATAAATATTTAGTCAACATTTCATGTACCTACGGTCATTTGTTTAAGAGTTTCACCAAAAACCAAAATCGACTTTTAAAAAAAACAGATTTTGCTTACAAATTCCCGTTTTTCCTTAATTTTTCTTTTGTTTTTCAAGGCACCTTTGAAAACTACTGGGAAATTTTTACTTTTTAGCCCCCAAAGTACCAAGTAGATTCACTTTCCTATCAGAAAAGATACTGTTGAACTGTTGAAGAATATCTAAGCATTTTTACTGTCCTAAAAGGTGACGACAAACACAAAAAAAAAGGTGCTCTGCTGTACAGTAGGTTACAAGTGGGTAACTGTATAATGGATTGTATTAAATTTGAATTCAATGATATAATATCATTGTATGAGAAAAACTATTCTGAGCGGAGACGGTATGTTAGTCTAGGTTTAAGTCTTAAGACACATTATAAACATATCAATGGTAATAAAAAAAATATGCAGAGTATTTTCATAGAGCATACTTCTTATTCATTATACTATGGTAGATTGTATGGATAGGCCATAATATTTTGATTTTTTGATTTTTTAGTTTCATATATCCCCGAATAATATTTTTAAATTACAACAAATAACTAAAATGGTTATTCTAGGTTTTTTTTATGTAATTTCGTCCAAATTTGAACTTAAAATTACTATAAAAATAAACTGTGATTATGTATTTTTTAGATTTTTTGGTAAAAGAATTAACTACTTTCATGGAAACTTGTTTTAAATGTTCAATCCTTAGATATAAAAGTTGAACATCTTATACATTTTTAACAACAAAATAATTATTCAATTTTAAATTTTATAAATTTTGTCAAAATTCGATCTTTAAATGCTTATAAAAAAAAATTGTGCAACTGTATTTTTAATATTTTTCAACTGATATTGTAACAATATATCAGGAGCCTTGTATTAAATTTTTACACTTTTTGGCCCAGCAGATAAAACTTTATTGATATTTATAGAAAAAAAACTAAAAAAATTGGAAACTGAAAATGTCCGTAAATAGCTCAAAAAAAGTCAAAATATTTTCAAAATTGTATGGTGTATAGGAAATTCTAATATAAATATTCAGTGAAATTTTCATGTATCTACAGTTATTCGTTTTTGAATTACAACAAAATAAAGAAATCGCTACATGAGAAATCGAGTGAATATCCAATGTTGTAAACATATGAACTTCAAAAGCTCATAAAAATTTAATTTAAATGCTCGAAGACATTTTTTTTTATATAAAGATGGAAAAACTTATGAATAATCTTGTATTACATTTTAAAATCTTAGATTTAAAAAGAAAAATTTTTATGAATTTTTAACTTAAAATAATTTGCAAATTTTCATCATTTTTATGTATTTTGTCAATATTTGAACTTTTCATGATTATCAAAAAAAAGTTGTGACTATGGATTTTTAATTTTTTTCATCTGCCTTTTAATCAATATACTAGGAGCCTTCTATTAAATTTTCAAGTTTTTTTAACCAATTAATACAATTTTATTAGAAGAAAAAAAACTAAAAAAAAAATGGAAATTGAAAATGTTCCTAAACGGTTTAAAACAAATGATACTATTCCGAAAATTTCATCGTGTATAGAAAATGCAAATATACACAACAAGTGAAAATTTCATGTATATACGTTCATTTATTTTAGAGTTACATAAAAAATGAAAATCGATTTTGTGGAAAACCGACTTTGAGTAAAAAGTCCCTTTTCTCCTTAGTTTCTATGTTGTTTTCCCGGCGCTAGTGAAAACTATTGGGAGTTTTAAAATTTGACATCATTAATGCCCCAACTAGATTCACTTTCCCATTGAACAAGATACTGTTGAAGAAAATCGAAGCCGTTTTACTGCCCCAAACCGTGATGACAGACACAAAAAAAATAAAAATAAAAATAAAAATAAAACACACATCATTGTAAAATCAATACATTCATCGTTCCACTCAGAATCTAAAAGTATTTTTTATAAAGACAGGAATGCAATACTGTATGTATACATTGTACCTACTACATATACGGGAAATAAAAGCGGGCAACGGGCGGTAACAACAACTATATAATATGCATATATAGATATGTGCACTGTAGTACACGAATATAATATTATATAGTACCTATATCGTACTTTGTATATACTGTCATAATATACAGTATTGTAGTAGTTTTTGTTAGTTTGAATTTTTCAAGGCCTAACCGATACACGTTCACGCAATCGCGCATTATAATATTATTATCGAGCCGCCACTGTACCGATTATCACACTATTCCCGATGGGATACGCACGCACACGAACTTAGATAGTATACACATATATGGTATATACCTATATATGGATTTTAAGGACCTGTTAGGAAAAGCGGAGGTAAATAATGATAATAACGACGACGACGGAACACAATTGGCACGCGGTGGATAAGGGGATAGGTTGTGCTGGATGGTGGGTACAGGGTAGTTGTCGGCTGTTGGGGTACTGGAGGGAGACGCGTAAATAGTGATCGGAGTATCGGACCACCACTCGGTGGCGGGGTCGGCAGCACGGAGGGTTTCATTCAGAGTGCGACGCGTGGGCGTCGCGACAGACCCCTATAAAACCTCACCCCGGCCGGGCGGACCGTGACAGTTCCGGAACGAACGCCGAGCACACGACACGTCGCCACTAGCGCAATCACGATACCAAGAAGAAAAGAAAACTTACACAGTGACTATAGGAGCGACTATAATATCTACCTGAAAAATACGAAATAAATTAAATAACCAACAAGTGAACTGTAAGTAATTCGCACTAGTAATATATAATATATATGGTACATTTTACTCAATGCTATTTTTATAGTACCTACTTATATATATTTCGACAGAGCTTTCTTTAACATTTTTACTGTTTTTATGAGACCTTATGCCATTGCTTTTGTATTTACCGAGAAGGTACAAGGTACCTAACATTAAATATTATTAACGAGCTCCACAGTCTGCCCCGCTACGTACCTATATGGACCAATGTATGATTATAATTTAAGATAAAATAAAATAATATTATATTTGAATTATTATAATACTTATTTATTTGTTTATACTTTATAGTATATACTTTATAATATAAAGTGATAACAAAGTATACAATATTATTAAATCAATGATTCCGTTTTAATATTTTGAATATAACGCAGGCTGGGAATCAAACAAATTGTTCAGTTGAGCGTTTTAAAAGTTAAGACATTTAAAAAATATGCTTCCACCCGAGCGATTTTAAATGTTCAATATCAAAAAATTCGCAAAGTTCCATTCCATAAATGTAAGTTAAGGTATTGCAAAAAAATTCCTGTTAAGTACTCAAAATATTAAATAACAACAACAACAACGACGACGATATTAAGATGCATGACAATATTATTATATTATGGTTGCATAGTGCATAGTACACTTATTTCCAATAGCACTTTTTATCTTAACAATAAATTGAAGAACATAATATTTTATCGATGTATACAACACAGTGCTTGGTTACCTATGACTTGGTGAGTCATATAGAATCTTTTGTTTTTGCTAACTTTTTAAATATCATTTGATGGTAATACATTGATTCAAAGACTATTAAAAATTCAGAAAAATAATCTTTAACCCAACAGCTAAATAACTATTTTCCAATTTTTTTGGTGTAGATCCCTTTGGTCCCAAGCTTGCGATAAATAAAAAGTATCACTTTGCAGGCTTGGCAATTGGCAAGCCTTGAGAGTGGTTTTATAGCTAAAATGCTCGACGAATGACCCACATCATCGAACACGATTTTCCCGCATATTGGAGTTAGTGTAGAAAGCCAGTTTAGTTAAGTTAAGTAACAATATTAATTTTAAAAACTTAAAATATCTTCTTCTATCAAATATATTAAATCTAGTAGTATATTTAACTTTTAGAAACTTTTTAATATAATATCAGTATTTCATATTAACTCTAACGATAGATTTTTTACAAAATGTAATTTCAACAATCTACAGCAGTACTTGAAAGTTGTATACACAACCAATTAATAATCAATTACAATTTAAAAGTTACTTTGGTATATATATTCCGATAAAAAAAATTTGATAAAAATTCTTGGATGTTATATCTATTGCTATAATGATAATAAATAAACACAAATTAAAATTTCTTATTAAAATGTAAATTAAGTAATCATTAAAAAACATTTTTATACATTTTATATGTTTTCCACATAATTTTATACTAAAAAAAGAATTTAAATTACCATTTTGTATTGATCAGTGTCATCATGTAACATGTTCAATATAAATTAAATTGTTTTTAAATATATAAGTAGTATGTTTCAGTTTAAGTTCTATATGAATTAATGTTTGCTTTGCACATCCTGAAAATATTTTGATAACGAAAACCTATAGTAATATAAAATTTCACTATAGGTACTAACAACTATACTAAAAAACATTCAGTGTAAATTTTCAGATTTTCAATGACCGAAAATAAATATTTAAAATTTTCAACAAGATTAAACTATTATATTCATACATTAAATTTACTAAACCTAAATATTTAAAAATAATATAAATATCCTAAATATAATTATATAATATACAGTAAACGAAAATAAATCGTGTTACGTTATTATAATAATGGTTGGGTTGGCTACTTTCAATAAAACGTTTGATTAATTGAGTTAAGTAGGTACCTACCTTAAAATAAACCTGTACCATACTATAATAATATTCTAAAATTACAGTTTTCTATCACATTTGGAGATGAGAAGAAAATTTTAAAACTAATTTCGAATAACAAATTGAAATAAGTACCTCGCAGTACCTTGCTGCTGGTGGACAAAGATACAAATTTTTAGTGATTAATATTATTATTTTTTTTTTTTGTCGATTATAGATGAACTTATTAACTGCCTTAAACTTCGCTGTCATAGCGACCATGGTCACGTGCCTAGCGTGGCCTGCCACGGCCCAGGTGTACAACATGAATCGGTATGGCAAACAGCAGTTGACCCAAAAACAGTATCGATACGGCAACCCGACATGGGCAAACGGAGCTAATCGGGCCGGTGGTTGGGCGTCATCCTCATACGGTAACATGATGAGACATTATCCGGTGTCAATGGCCCGATACGGAGCTATAATGGGCGGAGGTAGACAAACGCAGTCGCCAGACGACTATTATGATGGCGAAGCTAGAGGATCGGTCGCATACGATCCCAGCCCCAGACGGTACGACCGGTTGGACTACGCTGTAGTCAGGTATCCGAATTACGGTGTTGGTTATGGTGGTTACGGTGGTTACGGTGGTTACGGTGGTTATGGTTATTATCCGATGACCAGTCTGGCCGCGTCGGGTGGTAGCGATGGTGTTGTCGTTGACGACGATTTGTTGTATGACGATGATAACGATGACCGTGACCGCGACCGCGATGACGACGATAACGACGATATGTTGTTTGGGGATCATTCCGGTGGTCAAATGACTGCAGCAAGGTATCCTATGACGGACAAAATACACAATTTTCGGAAGGTGTTCATGTCAAACCTCGTGTCACCATCCAACGCGTTCAAGTCACCCAAAGAACGGCAGCTATACGACTTTTGGGAGTCCCTGATCAATGGCGACTTGGATGACATGCAGCAGACCGACGATACCATCGGACAACAGCGTCTAGACCGCGAACGGCCACAGCATCAGTCGCCCACTTCATTGCTCTATCAACATCTGCCGCCGATATTTCTCAAGCTGCAGCAACAGCAGAAACAGAAGCTACAGAACCAACAGCACCTGCTGAAGCAGCACTACAAGTCGGTTGACGATCAGACACCACCACCACCCCTGTCCCCGCCTTCGACATCATACTTGGCGTCGTCGTCGCCACTGCATACCGTACCACGTGGAAATTTCTACAAACAGTGGGCGAACGGATCGCCACTAATCAAGAGGTCTTCGGCTGGTGGAATGCAGCAGACGATTTTACCATCGTCTTTATCATCATCATCTTTGGACAACGAGGACGTACGGCAGTTGCGTGAGCTAAAATCTAACAACGGTATCACCAATACGACAGCCACAGCGACAACAATGACCACGTCGACCACTACAACCACTTCCACGGTCGCCGGTGTGAGTACCGCGGCAGTGCCATCGCCTCTCATGGCAGACGGAGGACAGAGAGAGTTCGTGCTGCCCAGACCAGCGGGTGAGAAGACAGGTTTGGAGAGTCTGTTGGAGGTGATCGCCGAAGGTGGTCTTCGTGGAAATTACGGCGATAACAGCAATGTGAGTATACACTTTACATTCAATAATCGTAAAAATCCTGCTGTGCATGAATGTTGGTTAACACCAGTATAGACTGTATAGTATTTACGTCAATGATATAATATTATTACTGCTGTTTTCCGTTTTCATCACGATACGCGGTCCCGTTTGAGTGCTGTACACTCAAAGACAATTTAAAAATTTTATATTTATCATAATATGATAATTGATAATACTCTGGAAATATCGAAATGAAACATTCGAAGACATATAGCCATCTAGGTAATAATAATTATTAATACATGTCTTTAGAAAATATGATGATGTATGTACGTTAGGTATGTATATATAGTTATAGTTTTTAAACAGTGAGTAGTGTTTTTTGTATGTATAATGTATATACTGTATATTGTACTCTGTAGTGTGTATAATGTATCACTAAGGTCTAATATTAAAAAAAGATTATACAAATCAAGTTTTAAATATATTGTATAAAAATGCATAACTAATATTATATCATATTAAATTTACGGTTAGTTGATAAGAATTCATCGTAAATGTCGTACACACTATAAATAATTAAAATACAAATAATGTATTATGAGGTCAATCTAAGCTAGAACTGTTGAACTATAAAAAGAAATAACTATCTGTTTATTCACAAATGATAAAAATTAAGTGAAGTAAGGCTCAAAAAAATAATAATTGTGATTAATGAAACTAGGTATAGATTATAGCATTCTCGCGTGTTTAGAACGCACTCATTGCGATCAGGAAATTACAAATATTCCTCTGTAAATAAGCGTCACATAGGGTAAATCCACTGAGTAAGTGTATTTCGGTAAGTGGTTAACCGAGATCATAAAATGTCCACTGCTTTTTATTTATTTTGTTGAAACATGCAAGTGCGTCGACGATCAACATTATTTTTTAACTGCAAAACAAAAATATTAAAATAGCGTCAGGACTGAGTTCGAGGGTTATTAATTAATAATTAATCTAGGTAGTTCTAAATTATTATTAATGCTATACAGCTGCGTTGACAGACCGGGAAAGTTCTATATACGTGGAAAAAAGCATGAGAGCATGCAATGTTTCAGTTTTTTACGTAGTTTGTGAGTCATGGAATGTATAATCACTAATCGATAATATTGATCCAATTCAATATTTACTACTGCAGTGGGTAATAATGTAATATTATTATAATAATATTATATTGTTTAATGTCAACCAAAAAGGTTAGAAATTAAAATATATTATGTTAGTATATGGTCTACATAGAAAAGTCGGACAGGCATGTATCCAATATAATAAAATAAGTACCTTTAAATATTTTTGAACTGACAATAAGATACAAACGGAGGCATATGTGCTGGTATTTTATAGAAAAACAAAATAGTACATACGTTCTACGTTTTATACACAAGTCACACGCTCATGTCTCACACATGTGACTATGTGAGCCATATTACCTATGTTATACGGTTAGCAAGCAGTAATAATGTCACTACTGGGAGTAGTTAAAACTACATCGCTGGAATGGTTCTGTGGCCAAGTGACGCATTATAATAGAAAACATTTATTTTTAGGGACCCTAGACATTTATAAATTATACTTTATAGTTTTGTCATTGGAGGAAAATCGAAATATTCGTACGCACTTAAATTGCCATCATGTAAAAATCCGTCACAAGAGTTGAATGTTTGCTTTAGTTCTGTACATAATTTATGTAGTTGGTACTTAGTAGGCATATAACAATAATATTGTAAAAGATAAATTTTTACTTACTTTAATTTATTTTTAAGTTGAATAAAAAAAGTACAAAATTCTTGCACCAATAACTATTATGTTTACTAAAGACTCTAGAGGGCTCTTGAAAATGTCAAGCATCTACGGTTATTCGTTTTTAAATTACAACAAAATAAGAAAATCCATGAGAAATCGAGTAAATATCCCATATTGTAAGAATTTGAACTTAAAACGTTCAAAAAATTGAATTTGACTGTCTGGTAGACATTTTTTTTTTACAAGGCTAGACAAAGATATTAGAAATCTGTATACAATTTTCAAATCTAATATATAAAAAGAAAAATTTTTATGCATTTCTCAAAAAAACTCAAAATAATTTGTCAAAATTCAAACTTCAGTTCCTCATAAAAAATTATTATGGATGTATGCTTAACAAATTTAAAAAAAACACATCATTGTAAAATCAATAAATACATCGCTCCGCTCAGAAACTAAATATTTGTACATTATAAAGTTAGAACGTTATGTGTTGGGTTTAATTTAGTTTCTATATATATATTATAAGTTCTCTTGTAGTGCAGAATAGCATTTACCAAGTCGGCAGTTGCATTATACACAGATACATAGGTAATATACATAGATAATATTATATACATCTCTCGAGTTGATTAATAAGGAAAGGGCCATTTACCTTAGTATCATCAAGTCTAGTAGCTGGTCTAGGTAGGTAATTAGTCAGCAACTGTGGTTAGGGTACATACATTACAGTAAACGATCCTCGAACAGTATAAATTAACTATGTAGGTACCTAATTCTTAAAGTTAAAAAAAAATACTAAATAAGGAAGGTAAGACGTTAAATTTAATTCTAAAAAAAGCACTTCAAAACAACTTTCTATTTAATATAAGACTACTATAAGAAATTTACTGTGCCATAGAAATAAATAAATAATATTAATTTTTTTTTTTTTTAATAAAACCATTTATAAATATCAACTTCACCCGATATTTTATGTTCTGTTGTTCTGTTTTGTAACGAACATATTATATATAGTTTATTTTTATTTTCTTCTGCGTCAGTATGGCTACACAATACAATATAATGGTTGTTGGACATTGGTTAGTAACCCGTACGTTGTTCTATGTTAGAGAAACGTTCAAGCGTCAACGATTTTATTATGAGAATAGGTACTATGGTTAATTTTAAAATTAAACTTTTTTTATTACCTACTCCAAACCCACATACGTTTTTGTACTACCTATATACTTTCAGTGTAGTCTACCAATGGTTTGACATCGGTTTATTTTCGTTTTTATGACGGTACCTATATACATTGAATATTTTATACAGTATACGTATGGACTGTATATTACACAAATACAAAAAAAAAAAATATCTTAACATCGTGCAGGATATATTGCCTTTATAAAATTTAGTATACAACTAAAAAATATTGATTGATTTCAACGGTAGAGTGTAATGCAATTTATTTAACGTAGAATCCAAAATGAATCTTTGCATGAATATCTCAATTGGATTATTCTATTATGTGATTTCAAATATATTGGGAAATTTCGCATGAGTTTTATTGTATTTAAAGATTACATTTTATATTTTTTCTTCAACGTTAGTTAAAATAATGAACTTGTATATTTGTAGGTAATACTTTACCTAAATATAATATATATGTCTGAGGCTACTTTGGTCTTAGGAACGTAAATACATAATTTATTTAATGTACCTATATACGAATTACATTAACAGAAATTCATTTAAATTCAATTAATCTTATTTGCGTAACGAGAGGATATCGACATAGGTAACTTGCCTATATGAAATTTGAATTTCTAAAATAATATTGATTTATACATTGACACGTTAATATTGTTTCTATTATAGTACCTACTGCCTATTATATTGTTATCAGTACATACCTATTATTATAGTACCAGATTAATTATTGTATTTAAATACAAATTTTTATTAAATACTTATATAAATCGTTTGGTATTGTACATGGAATGCAAGTATGCCCTTGTGGTACAATAGCTTTAGGTATTTATATATGTTGATAGTAGCCATAATGAATAGTTTTTAATAATCAATGAATATTCATGAAGTTAATTTATTCAAAAATATAAAGGCGAAATCAATGCACAGTAATAGTAATATATACCCTGCAGTAGTGCAGTGGTAATATTTTCGTTGGATATTTTAACAGAATTTAAAGACATCAGTTTGAATATTGAGATATAAACACAAATAATTTATATTTATACTTGTATTTAGGTTAAGTAAACATGCATGCTTAATAAAAATAAATAAATTTACAAATAAAGCATATTTGTTCAATATAAATGGAAATTTAAGCGGGTAAAAACTACATTTCAGAAAACACCAGGAAATTGTTAATATAAATTGGTTTTATAAACTTTTTAAATTTCAATAAACTAAATAAACAAATATTTATTTTCATCATAATATGTTTATTATTTTATATTTTATCATAGTATATCGTCAAACATGTTATTTATTATTTATAAAATTGAAAAAAATAATATAATTTACTGAACGTTTTATTAATTTGTTATTTAAAATATTTGAAAAAGAAAAGAAACAAAACAAATGTATTTAATGATTTATTCGATAGTGTCAAAAAATATGGAAATAATATTATGCATTTCATAATTTGAGTATTGTCTTAAATATATTATATGTCATGATATTATATCGATTATAGAATATTATATTTTTAAATTATATTTTTAATGAAGTTTGTTTATAATTGTTGGTATTTTTTTTTCTGGTTAGAAGACAAATTCCCTATTAAATAGGTATTTAATTAAAACTTCACAATAGTTTGAAAAAGCTTTACATTTAATATTTTAAGACTGTATGATTTAATAGTTATAAAATATATATTTTATATACGAGCTATTATCTATACCTACATTAAATTTTTGACATTGGTCAAGTGAATTGAATGTTGTACAAAGAATTTATTTAAATAGTATAACTATTATTAATTGTATTAACTGTCGAGCTATTATAGTTTTTTACTAAAGGCTAATAAAAAAAAAAAAAAAAACTATTATTAATTAGCACATAAGTCATAATACTATAATATTTGTTAAATGAATAATACAAATCGTGAAAATAATTGACATGTCCAAGATTCCAGGTTATTTTCTAAATAAATCATTACTAAACAATTAGTTTAAGAGCATGCATTTCTTTTACATTTACCGATTTTCACAAATATAATCGAGCCCAATATTATTAAATATGCGGGTACTCTTGCAATATAATTTTAAAGCAATGTGAAAACCATAATAAATTCACAAATGTTATTAAATTGTATAAACATTGCTTAACTTAATTATTATTTAATTGATTTAAGTTGAAATAGTTAACATTTTCTAAGATATAAATACTCATTAGGTAAAAAATATTATTCCTTGAATACATAGGTAATTACAACCATTAGGTAACCTATACAATAATTTATTTAGTATGGTATCTTTATTTTTAGTTTCCTTCATATGAACTGTTTCTCAAAAATCTCAACACAAATTACATACAGGGCCGGCTCAATGCTTTAAAAAAATAGGAGATCGCCTTGGGGTGGTAAATTAGGGCAAATCCCCTCATCAAACAAAAAATAACTATTGAATAGTTGAATAAAATTATAATAGTTAATTTTGATTGTAATTTTTAGGCGACAAAATATCGTATCTACCGAATTTTTTTAGATTCATGAAAAGTGCTGTTTTTCAGGATGTTAATCGTAGAAAAGAGTGATAATATTATGGTATTTACCTTAAAAAATAATAGGCGCCTAATTAATAATTAAATATATCACCACACGTCAGTATAACATAATAATGAACATTATCCGGTTTTGTAGAAGCACAAAGTCTGGGTAGTGGGCAAATTATTATTTTGTTTGATTCATATCTGTTTTTTATTCTTAATTCCTAATTTATGGCCGAGTGTAAATTAGTACAGTCACGAATTAAGGTAAACTAAAACATTAAACAAACTAAAAAAACAAAACCACCACCAACTCGCGAGGGAATAAAATCATATAATTTATATGGTGGTTTACGTGTCCGGTGTTTAAATTGTATTACTTTTCTCTAACCGTGACGTCAACGCTAGGACAATCGATACGGAGTCTCTTGGCGGCGGCGGCGCTCGGATTCTTGAATGGAGGTCGGAAATTTGCCGGCAACTGCGCGTATGACGTCAATACCGAAAATAGAAACTTGTATATCGCACGCCGTTGAATGAAACCCCACCCCATTTCGCTCCTCTCGCGAGTTTCCACCCCTTAACATTATTATCACCACTGCCTCCCCAACCACCTACCGCTTGCAAAATGCCATGCCTGACGTCATACACGCACACGCGACCCCGCGATATCCAGCCGAACCTTGCTAACCCCCAAAAGAGTAACGCGCCGAATATTTATGAGGCTCTCCTCGTCCTCTCCATTTCTATCTTTCTCGGGGAATGAAGTAGGGTAGTTAGGTTAACACTGAGACTCACCACCCACACACAATTTTACCGTTCCACGCCCACGGATCCACTTCACCCGTCATGACTCTCGTCCCATGCTTGAAAGCGGGCATGGATAATAACGCAGATGACTTTTATTCGCATTTAATTTTTTTTCTCCCATATAAAAATTTAAAAACGTCCAGCGAAAACAACTATCCATAATTGTCTATAATATTATACACTGTGCTAAAGACATTACATTATTGTGTTGGGTTATATAATGTAATATAAACTGTATAAACTCGTGCCTTGAAGACAAAACGTCCTAGTTCAGAAATTAGAGTTACATAATGTTATTTCAAGTCGCACGAGCCTATACGCCATACTGTCTTATAGTGTATAAATTATATATGATAATTTAAAATTACAATATATAATTAAATTTCAAAACAATACAATTTCAACAATATTGTCACAGAGTTATATAGGTATTTTATATCATATTTTTTTTGTAGATACCTTTACTCATTATATTTATAGATAATATGATATCATTGTATCAATTTATTGTTTTAAGATATTATGTAGAATACAAAATTTATTATTGTATTTTATATTGTTTTATTACATAACAGCATATATTTTCAGAAAAGGTGACTAAAGTATTATTGAATGGATTTTAAACATTGAGTTTTCAGTGTATTGGGAGATCTAAGACCCTATGTTGACCCTATATTTCTATTATCTTTTTTATCGTTCTTTCTCTACTCTTGGAATTAAAAAAACTATGTATCATATAAAAATCAACAGGGACCATATCGTATTCTGACTTCTGAGTCTCTTTCTTAATTGAATTGGGATGTATATACTCATGAAATAAAATAAAATAAATTGAGAGTAACTCTGTATTCTTGAGTTTTCCTCTTTATTCAAGTACTGCATTTATGAAAAATGAAAATATAACCTAACTTAACACGCACGCACATACACACACACACACACACGAATATATATATATATATTATAATATGCAAAGGGATGATTAAAAATGTGGCCTCAACCACATCAGATTGTTGAATCCGTTACTTTTCGCTAACAGTGTCGGGTGACTGAAGAAATGAAGCTACCTTGTTTACATTAGTTTTCAAATGAGTTGCTTCAAGTTTTAAGTTACAATTTTACGACACTGATGAATTTATACATATATATACATAATATATGAATGGTGTCAAAAAAGTGGTTACTTACACCAGTTACGTCGTTCTTGGAATAATAGTATAAAATACTCTGTACATAATACTCACAGCTTGTATAATTGTATTATTCTGTACAAAATATAAAACAAAAGACCACAATAATTTCAGTTCAATAAAATTTGATATATTTTAAATGCAGTAAAGATTTGAAAATATATAATTTGTTGGAAGTACGTAAACGTACAATAAGTTTCATAGATAATTTATTATTGTGTATAGTTACTGTTGTTTATTAATATGAATTTATTACTATTTTTAATATCATTATTATACATAGGTGAAATATATTTTTTGCAGTCCATCACATTTGAATATTTTGATCTTAACTCTTTAGGCTTTAGTCGTTTGTAATAATATACACTAGTTTAAAATACAAAATACTGTTTTCATAAGGCGTAATTATTATGAAAAAAAACTTCGGTGGTATTAACGTGCAATATTTGTTTGTTTTTCAGTTTTCCAAAGAAGCCAAAGTAAATAAGAAAAGATCATTCGTTTCCGATGAGACGTCATTAGCAGCTCAACTTGGTGCGCTTCGAAAAAATTAAGATATTATATTGTATGAAGAATAAAATGTGTTATAAGTTCGTCAAAGCGCGGAATATACTAAAAACTATATGATAATAGTAGTGTAAATAATAAATTTTCTTTTATTCAATACGTTCGCTTAAGTGTAAAGTCAATTTCCTAGCCGTTCTTCTTTTTTAATTTACATTTTTTAAAAGCATGTGTGCACTTTATGATTTTATTCTCCTTCCCCGTTGAAATACACTTATTGTTGGATACCACAAAATATTGTTTGGTTTAATAACATAATTTCATTAAGGAGCGAAGACTGAATGAAACGTTTCATTGTACCTATTATACATGCATTTATAGTGTCTATAACAAATACAATTCAAATAATCACTTGTAAGTTTAAAAGTCGGTATTTCTTATTTAAGTATTAATTTTACTCTAAATATTGTTAATTAAATTGCGTTTACCATCTATATATATTAACCCTATTGATATTTTATATTATCTTGATATTTAAATTTTTGTATGCTGTCCATTCTTGCACTTTTATGTAATTTCCCTGTACATAATAATAATAATTATCGTGATTTGTTTGTAAGATTTAATAATAATTATTAATTATAGGTACTATTCGTCATTAAGTACCTATACGTAATATAATATTGTAGTCATGAATGTAGAATGTTATATTTAAATAAAATATTATCAACTAAAATATCTAGAATTTTTTTTTTAATGTCATAAGAATATGTGGGTATGTGAATGAACAACATTATTAAGATTTATACTTTTTCAAGGACATTATATGATTGAAAACTGTTTTATACATATTGAGTACGTATTGAGACATACGATAATATTATTATAGAAAAATACCATCACAGCAATTTCCGTTTGTAAAAAAATGATTTATTACAATAACTTATTGCCACTTATTCCAACTCTATATTAATTTGGAAATTTACCTCTTGATCTCGGTCCAATTTTTTGTAGTCAAACGTTCTCAGTGGAAAAGATATTTGTGGAAATTGATATTTCAAAATTGGCCTGTGAGTGGATACTTTTTGGGTACCTGGTATTGACTATTAGACAATATTATGGTACGATATCGTAATATTATACCTTCAAACAGTCACACTATATTATCAAATGACAGAAATTATGATATTAATAATAATAACTTATTAGGCAATAATAACAAAAAATATAGCTTACAATTTTTTTTTTTAAATGCTTGTTTTGGAGAATAAAAATGGATTCAATTTTCAAATTTGAGAGGTATATCTGGTGAAGAATCGGAGATAAAAATTCCCAGTACCAATTTTCCAAAATAATCGAGGAAAACTAAATAAAATTTACGGAAAAACGGGAATAACTTTCCAGCTTTTGACAAAACCGAATTTGATTGAAATTCTAAGTGGAGCAATCAATATATATACATTCTACGACCGAGTGTGTTTTATTTTAATTTTTTATTTTGTCTATGTGAAGGTGCACGTTTTATTGAAGGTAGACAAAATGCTACAACCTTTCACTTTGAGGGTGGTATCTGATAGAAAATTGTATCTAGTTGGCACTTTTAGAAAATCAAAATTAAAAACTACCATTACTTTCCAAAATAAGATATAAGTTAGATCATCAAATCATAGTGTTTTGGATCAGAATTTTTTAGAATCAGTTCTTTGTATATATTATCTTACAACTTTGAAGTGAAGACAAGTAAAGGCATATTATGGGTTAATCTCTGAACTAAAGTTTTAGAAACGGAATTCAAAGGAAACATTTTTGAGACGTGACCGATGTTGTGCGATGTATAAAGCATTGACAGCCAATAGTGGGACGTAAGTTAAAGGCAAGTTGAGCTTATAGTTTCAATGTACGATATGCAATCTTACACAATGAATTCAATAATTACCAGGTCAAAATCCATGCACGCTATGCAATTATTCTTTCATTTTACTATTCTCATACACTTGAACACACAATATAATAATTGCATTCTATTCATCAGACATTATTTCAAACTCACATAATATCTTTAATATTACTACCCATAATTTATTTTAGATGCATGAGCATAAGTTGCATATAGCTGCTTCTAAAGTCTTATCAATTTCGGTATGCCTATAGCTTTACCAATATTGATGTTTTTGTTCAAGTTTTTTTTTATTATCACAGCCAATTATAGGTAACTTTGAAGCATCTAAAATATTTCGATTTACGTCTTATTTTCCTGTCACCTAATTATTTAGTGGCTTCTCAATATCGTATTAGTTAATTTTCAGCCCTTATTCTGCTCTGCTTTGAGTGTTAATATGCGATATTATAGCAATCCTGCGAAAAAGAAGACCGGTTCAATCATAATCGCATAATCACAATCATAATAATATTATGCATCATAATATTGTACGTAAGTATTTGTCAGGATATTTTAGATTTCCATGCAGTTACAATAAAAATCATAAATATTAACATTAAACCATTAGACCCATCATATAATATATACATATAGGTACTTGATTCCAAAATGTTATGACGTATATTCCTGAGATTTTATAAGTGACTAGCTGATCCCGTGCACTTCGTCGCCCGTTAAATGGATCAACTCAATACTACCTACTCAAACTTTGTTCAATTCATTAACGTGTATGGTGTTCAAAATTTATCTTATCTTTCCCGTTGCCCTGAATAAAAATTCTGAATCGCAGCAGTACATTATCAGGTAGGCAATCTACCTGCGGTAGATCGCGGACCCCGTGCTGTTTGTACGGAAGTGTATGATTTAACTCTAAAGTATCAAAGTTATACCAAGTTTATTTTGATGTAATACTGTGGATTAATATAATAAATTTGGTTGCTCGTAAAAAATCGCAACTCTTAAAAAAATTATGATTGTTGAACTCCTTTTGGGTGTAATTTTCTGCGGTAAGTGCAACTCTGCCACCCTGGTAAGCATTGTTCAATAATTCGATTTGATGCAAGCTTGTACCTGATCTGCCCGAATAACCAATGGCAACCAATAAATAAATGCTAATTTCTAATGTAGACTGTAACCAATGGCAACTATAAATAAATAAAAATAAAATTTCCAATTTCTATCGTGAATCTCAATGTCCCTGTTTCAGCACCTATTTAAAATGCGAATTTTGGCAAATCCTTTCTTAGCGCACGTCTATATTATAATAGCTATCTGTATGCCAAATTTCAGCCAGATCCGTCCAATGGTTTGAGCTGTGCGTTGATAGCAGTCAATCAGCTTACTGTTTTTTATATACAGATATGGTTGCCATGGTAATATGGACACACACACACACACACACACACACACACACTGACATACATTCATTTTTATATATATAGATAGATTATCAAATGTTGAACATTTAAAATATATGTATAATTGTTATCATCCCGTACCTATAATGTGATTTTACAGTCCTTTTCTTGGACTAGTCCCTGAATTGCTCCCGAAACGTGTTTGTTTTGAGCTGATTTAAACCAATGAAAGATTTCGTTTTATTTCAATTTACCATTTTTTATATTAAATGATTATTCCATACTTACATAATATAACTTGCGTATTTATATAACATAAATCATTTTTTAAATAAATAAGCAGTACCTATCTTTAATATATCTTTCTTTAATTTTGATCGTCAATACCATTGATTATTGTTAGGTAACTAAAGACTAATTATTACATAAGTTTCGCAATTGTTAATTGTTTCACCAAATAACCAAAATTAATACAAAAAAAACTCATGTTGATGAGGCAATTTTATTCATTCAATTTATGCTTATTATGTTGAGTATATTTTTATTTTAATGAATTTTAATGTCACTTGTATGTGCCTACTTACATGAGTTGCCATTGCTACATACGTGAGCTTAACGTTTCCGGTTTATACGAAGTCTTGACTAACATGAGACCTACAATCCTCCGTTCGGACCTGCACGTTAGGAATGTTTCGTTTTATTGAGGTTCAACATGCACCTTACCCTTTAGGAACATGCTGACTGCTGAGAGTCCAAGCCCGAAAAAAAATTCTTAATTGGATACATTTTCTATTTTATTTTCGATCTGCTTAAGGTAGTTTTCAGTGTATTTCTTAATTATTTTGTTCTTGAAATTTTTTTATATTGGTTTAGTACCATGAGATAAAAATCTTAAGCGTGAATAATTAATATAAATGATTACAAAATGTGGTTTTTACATTTTACATATCTAGATTTATACCTATATAAAGTAAAGATAATTTTAAATAAATATATTATGAACTTTTGTAAATATAATTAAATATATAATATTATTCCAGTAAAAAAAAAAATGCAGTTTAAATGATATTATAATATTATATAATTAAATATATTTTTTTTTATATGGTTTGACAAAGTTTGAATATCCACTGCTAATATCATATATGTTATGTACAATGTACATATATATATATAATATACACATTATACATTATCATGTAGGTATATAATATTATGAACTATGTGCATTATAAATGTATAAATCAGAATTAAATAATTCATGTTTGTTTTTTACGAACATGTCCAGTGGGGCCATTATCTTCTTGAAGAATAAATAATAAAGTAAATAACATCGAACTTCCCAACAAAAATGTAAAAATTTTTATTCAACTCATTATTTAGGCTTTGATTTTTAGTTTATAGAAAAACTAAAACCATACATAATATTATACATCGATTCAAATCACAACAGAAATAAAAACTAATACCAAAGCTAAGGCATCTAATAATAGTATCTAATATTCATACCATCTTAGATAATATGCATGAGATTTGAAATGTGGTGCACCTTTGTGCCGAAGATCATACAGAGTTCAGTAAACAACAGATTCGAATTGCTGTATGCATCAGTCAATCTTTGAATATTTTTTGAAGCAATTTGTGTGCACCTGTTCAAAATTATGTCAGTTTAATTATATTTAGTCATATTAATTAAAATATTTACAATCTACAATTAATTTAATTTTTAATTTTCATTTTTGAAGAGTTCAAGAATACTTAAGAAATCACCTCTTATTACAGAACATGGGTCCTCTTAGAAATAACCATTCCTGCGTTGACTAAATTGTCTATATTTATTTACTGCTCTCAAAAAAATGGTAATCCAAATCAATGGACTAGGGCTACAGCGAACGCGATTTGGTATATTTCAAATATTATACTTTTCTTCTTCTTAAATTTTGAGTTTTGAATTTTGAGTTTACAATAACTTTGTGGGAAACAGATATATTGGGATAATACAACTACTCGTCCATATTATATGTTGTCAATTTCGAGCCAAGCGGACTCATTGGGAAAGGATTTTCGATAATATTCTCTTCACTACACAACGTGGAATGTAAAAAATCTGATATGTAGATTTTAAAGAATTCAGCATTCCTTGTTGTCAATGTATTGAAAAAAAAAACAGTAAAACTATGGATAGAATAAACTCAATTGGTTTGAAACTGTTTAAAATATATTATTATAATGTTATGAATTGATTGAAAACATTGCAATATTTTATGAAATAAAATAGGATAGGCACGTATAAATCATTAAATATTTATTTATAAAAATAAAGTAAATATTACACCTTTTTTATTTTACCATTTAAGAATACATATATATCAACTCGTAGTAGGTTTATCGACTTAATTATACTTCCATATAACTACATAATTGTGTATTGGGGTACATTATTGATGTTCCCGAGATAAATGCTCTTTTCATTATTCATTAATTTTTTTTTCAAGTTGAAATGTTAAATAGTTTCCAATTATTTGCTCCTATGGAATAAACATATAAGCTCATATTTTTAATGAATCTAGGTCAATGTTACCACCCTTAAGTTTTTACCTTTTAGAGACAGCGGACAATGCCACCTGTATGTGGACAATTCCCAACAATAATTTATTATGATGAGTATCTATGTGACCATGTGGTTTTAGGTTAAACTTTTTTTATCATTCCAATGAGATCAACTGATGAGGAGTCTTGTGAGTTGTATTAAATGATCAATCCTTATCAGGTATTGTAATTAAACGATTTATAAAATATTTTGATGTTTGAAAACGTACTTGAAATTTTAATTTGTTCACTCAAGATCATACAAATATGAAATAGCTATTTAGCGATATTTGGTATTTAATGCTGTACGGATAATTTATATAATTTATATAACATATATATTTTATCATATTATTATATATTGGGATTTGGGAGAATTCAGTAATGTATCAATTTTGACAGTGAACAATTACTTATATACAATCGAAGCCGGTAAATTGTTATATATATATATATATTATATACACGCTTGCTACATGAAACATTTAGAGCGTGTTTACTACTTCATGTTTAACTACCTGGAATGGTGTTTAAGTACCGGAAAAAAAACACTTCATTTTAAATCCAATCACTTCCTCGTTCCGCCTTCCACCACCATAAACTAAAGGATTCTTCAAAGCTTATGCTTAATGTGGCATAATGCTCAGAAAAGTGTGTACATTTAATATTACACATAATAATATATAAACTTATATTATATCCAAATCATTTTAGGAGTGGTCGGGCAAGGGTGGTGAGGTTTATTCCTATCCCATCATTATTGATCTCGATAGATAGGAACTGTATATCATATACAATGTAAATATAGTTGTAATAATCAATTAAATCAATCAATTTTTAAGTAAAAATGTTCCTATATTATATTTAACATATAAATAAAAATTATTATGTTTTAATTAAAATTTAGTTCGACAAGTTAGTTAAAGAAATTATTTTCTTTTTACATTATGATTTCAAGAATATCTTTAGCTCTTCGTAAAATTAATAAATATCCTTTCGTCTCGTTTTCAGTCGTAACTCAGTCATCTATTTCCCGATTGGCGAGTATTCATCTCGCCTTCCTACCTATTATTATAATTCATAACATACCCTATAATATTGTATTCAAAGGTACAAACACAAAATAAATATTATTTTTCTTTTAGAAGTCAAATATTCTACCAAAAGTGTTGATTACATCAAAGGACATCTAGCACAAAAGATATATTTTTGATCCTGAGTCCTGAGAATAACTAATTGGTATATTTGAATAATTGCCCATATTGTTTTCCTCTTTGCGTTTTGTAACAATTCACATCAATAGATGGTTCAACGCCGTACGATATTATTATCATTATTATTCTGCTGTAAAAGATATATGGGTATTTTTATTTATATTTCTTTTCTAAGGTTTTTATGTCTTTGGACTTTAATCGAATATTACACGTTCAAAGAAACATATCTACTATATAAGTAAAAAATAAAAACAGTATAAAATGTAATATTTGCACGTTCTATGTCGCAGACCAAAGTACCAAAAGTGTAGGCACTTACGTCGTTGAGGACATATATTTGATTTTCTGATATTTATTGATATATTTGACTTTCTAGAATCACGTGACATATAAAAATGTTGTTTTTTAGCGAATTTTCTTTCGTCAATATAGTATATAGTCTGATAGTTGTATGTATAGGCTGTGGCGCAAATAGGAAAAATGTTTAAGAAAGGGGGAGGTGGCTCAAGCCCCAAACATTTTTTTTAAATTATAATATATACTATACTTTTTTTTTGAGAGGCTTTGGCTGATTTTAGGGGTGATAAGCCCCCAAGCCCTCCAGTTTTCGCCACTATGTATAGGTATATAATTTTGGCCTGCAACCCCAACCTTGTATGCCTCAACAATTCTTCCTTCGTCAACCCGAGATTGGCCTACGAGTTATCATATTTTCTGGCTTCCCGTTTAGGTGCCCTTTAGGTTAGTATATTACTTTTGTGATGTCGACTTTTTGAAAATTAATCATGATGAAAAGTGGTGTACATGCATGTTGGCCCACCCCAACCCTCTAGCTATTTAATTTAATTAATGTTTTCACAGTTTTTATGTTTGTTTATTTAAAAACAATATGCATACTAGGTATTATACTTAACAATATTATGAAAACATTTATGCCAAAAAATGTTTTAATATTTTGAACAGTATCATTGTATTAGTATTAATATTTGGATTACATATTTGCCGAAGTATATAAAAGCATAAAATATATTAAATAGGATTTGGATTTTAATTATAAACACGCAAAGGAAGATATTTCAATTAAGTTTACTTTAAAATATTAATCAATGGTTATAATTTAATATATTTTTAAAAAGTATTACAACACTGGATATAATATTATATTGCATTATTGCCATACAGTTACTTATTCAGAGCTATTGTTTAAACATTTAATATAGATATAATATGCAGCTTTCATTGAGTTTTCAAATTATTGACGTAATATTACAATTACCTAGTGAGTACAACAGTGAGGTACTTATTATGTTTAACAAAAATCATATTGTTTTACATTTAATAATAAATAATAATGTACTCGTTCATACAGCATTTGATTATGTTGTTCAAATATCTTACATATTTTTGTAGCGACCTACAATTAGATATGAATACTATAAAAATAAGGACACGATGTAAAATGGTATACAGCCAAATTTAATATCGTCAAGTTAATTCATTCTCCAGTTTGGCGCGTTCATAAAATATAAAATACAAAAATACACGTAATAAATAAACAATGCTTAATGGTACAAAATTAATTAAATTATAAATAAATAAATTATATAAATATGAGTCTTTTTATGTTCGGTGATGTGTAGGTAGGACTTTGTCGCAATCTCGATTCGATTCTATAGCTTGTGAAACATAGTTTCTGTAAACACGTGGAAGACAGACAATAATATTATTATAAAATATTTTATTTATTATATTTATTGATTATGTTATTGGTAGACAATAAAAAAATATATTCTTAATAGTATTATTTATTGATGTAACTATGTTAACCAATATCTACTATATGATAATGTACATCCATAATATTATAGGTAATAATAAATATAATGATTTAAGTTTAAAAGGGCGTGGTGTCCCACCGTAATCTACCAGCATCCCTCCCAGACCAAAATGTCAAAGTTGCGTTCCGCAGAATCCACTTTGTGTTGTTAGTTTTAATATTTCAGTAAAAATACCTATTATTAAAAGTAAAATAGTAAAAGTAAGAATATTATCTGTGTTCTCTTGTCGGTTTTTTTTTTTTATTATTTTAATTTTAAAGCTAGGTATAAGTACTTAAGTAAAATATTAAAATTTAAAGATGTTCATAATTAGCTTTAAAATTAAAACAACCACCGAGAGAACACAGCTGAACACTTTGAATTATTTAAAAATAGGTCAATTCACTGTAATATTAAAAATAAATGATGGATTCTGATGCACGTAAATTCTATGTTGTGCAGATGGAGACTACTCATTATGCGGGCATCACGTCCTCTTAAACACCCAACAACCTCTACCTATCTTTTTATCCTTGCACTCTATAGTCACACAATTAATAAAAAATTATTCATACATTATAAACTAGTTTTAATAACGTTAAATAAAAATGTTCAGTTAATTACATTTATTTATTATAGTGATTGTTTTTGACATTTTGATATTTTATAGATGGTAAATAATCAATTAATTTTTTTTTTATTTTAAATTTCATACGGAACACCCTCTCTGGATGTAATGGAAATCAATAAAGGTACCTCACTATTTATAAATGTATAAATTATTAAAATATATTTATGAAAGATTGTTTACAAATACTTTCAGCAGAGGAATACTTTGCTAATAATAAATATTAAATTACCATCAATAATAAATTATTTATTATGAAAATTATTTTCATTTTTAGTATGTGAATTATGTTATGTTACTTACTAAATTTTAATATAGAAATATAAAATGTATATTATGTAATATGCATATTATCTATAAGTATAATATATGATCAAAATATTACAATTATATTATTTTATATTGATTGTTGTAGGTAATCATTTTTAGATTCTGAGCGGAGCGATTAAACTAGTAGTTTTACAATGGTGTTTATTGTTTTTTTTTTTTTTTTTATCCTGTATACAAAATTTCTACCAGAAGGAGTGCTTTGATTTTAACATATAGTACCTTATCTTTTAGAAAATTGGATCAAGATAGTACTTTAAAGAGGTCATTTTTCAATTTTATCAATAGTTATTTAATGCCACAGTAAAAACCACCGAAAATGACGAAATACCGCTAAAAATTGGGTTTTAATTTCTAACGATTTGTTTATTACCATAGAAACGAATAAAAAATTATAATATTATAATATTAATTCGACTTACATGATATAATAATTAATGACAATATAAAATATCTAGACTGACACACCGTCTCAGCTCAGAATCGTTTTTCTTATACAATGATAGAATATCATTGAATCCAAGTTTAATACAATCCATTATACAATGACCCACTTGTAACCTACTGTACAGCAGAGCGACATCAACTTACCTGCTTTTTTCTTATATATTTTATAAAGTTATAAGCTCGCATATTACACATTCATAAATCATATTTTGTGTAATGTTTATTAATACATTTTTGGATACCTAATAGAATATTAAAGTATTTTGAACTTTAATAATTTTTGTAATTGTATGATTCAAGTAACGCTTGTTTTACGTTATGCTTAAAATTAAAACAAAGTATTTTCATTTTTTTATAATTTAAAAATGCTAACATCCATAATATGATAAATTATAAATTGAATCTAATTCTTAAAATAAATTACAAATGAATAAATTAACAATTATTTACTTTTTGTCATTTGTGTTTGATTTTGATTTGGAAACAAAAAGCTGAGTGATTAAAAGCCTGAACGGTCTTTCTACTAATAAGTAAAGGAACAAACCAGCCGTCAAACACATTACAGTGTCTGAAATTGCATCAGTCACCTGAAAAAATACATAACCACATAAATTAGTTACCATACAATTTTAATATTGTAATGAATATTCATCTTATTTAACCAAATCCATAAGCCTTAATGCATTGTGAGTTGTACCTATATATTGTATATTTTATTATTATACTTAAATGTTTAATCTACATTTAAAATATTTTAGAATTTCATTCAATCTATAATACTAATATTATTATAATAAATTGAAAATAAACACAAATATTTCTTCAAACTAGTATTGTGCAAGTGCACTGCTAACGATATTGTAATCATATATAAACATAAATATCAATCGTATCCCATTAAAAAAAATAACAATTAGTATTTATGTTATTGTCAATTTGGTTATTATAATACCTGTTATACGGTTATAGGTACTATCTGTTTATTATTGATTTTTTTTTTTGTATTTATTTGAATAATATTTTATTTGTACAAATGTAATATTGTCAGCATTAGCCTTGATCCCGTCAAGCCTATAATAAAATATAAGACAGTTCTTTGTTTTTCTTTTAGATGTAAAAGTTTATATTTTCGTCGATTTTTTTATCGGGCACCGAGGGAGTCGTTACGTTTTATTATTATTATTTTAGAAACTATATTAACGTTACGGTATATTGTAGTCTGGCAGCGATATCGTAAGCTGATGAAGTGTTAGTAGCCTTCGTTTGATACAATTTCGAAGAACTGCCATACTCGTATTATACAATTGACGACATAGTCACACAATACGATACAACGGAGGTACAATATTATTTGATCCACATAATGCGAATTCTACGAGAATTATGTCCTCTCATCGTTTACAATTTAAGTTTATAGAATTATCATGGGCCAGAAGTAAGTAGTTCCGTAATATTTTAAAAGACTTTCTACAATTCAATCGTTCAACATAATATCTTAAATAGTCAGTAATCCTGAAAGAAATAACCCCCCCTTCGACCTTTGATATATCGAAATGACGATATAGACTTCAATCAAATTTCAGTAATTCGGCTCATTTGTAACTATGACTATATTACACCATAAAAATAAAATTTAAAATCCTCAATTGTCACCCACACAATATTTAGTGTATCATAATGTTTGTTATTTTTGGAAATTTAAAGTTTCTATTTGAAAATAATTTTAAATTTTCACATAAATAATGCCAAAGGACGCTTATAGGTGATAACATTTAGTACAAAATCCCTACTGAAATTTCTTGGACAAATTAATATTCAATCTGAACCTTATGCATATATTTAACTTAAGCTCATTTCAGTCTTAAAAACAAAATATAATCAATTCGTCCATTAGTTCATTTCCTTATATATTACCATATTTTTATTCTTGTTTTCATAAATCTATCTAAGGAACTTGTCAAAAATGCTATATTCCATGAACTATTAACAGTCAGATTTTTCATTGCAGATCAAAGGGTATTTTAAAATTTTAGTTCAGAGCCATTTACTGCATACCGATTTTTCATGAAGTATAAATTATTCATATATTTATAAATTAATATACAAAATACAATATATTATACAAACGAATAAAGTAGGTGTTTAATTACTAGGTAATTAAAATCAACCAAACAAATAAAACAACGATATACTTGATTCTCTTTAGTTAATAGTTATAATCTTAATTAACTACACATATTTGTTATTATTATTAAAACATAATTATTGTTTTTAAACAATTAATTAAAAATGTATTTCAATACTCGTGTAAGAATTTTGTTTTATTTCAAGGCGATTTCAATAAAAAAAAAATATGGGTATTTTTGTTAATCAAATAACCTATTGTTCAACTGCCACGTGGACACGTTATAATCAATTCAAATATCGAAACTGAAACCCAGTAAAAAATTATAAGCAAACTGATATTTGTTTTTATTATTTCACTAATTTAAGTAGGAGATGGACTTAATGAAATTTAATAAACTGGGTAGGTGTATGTAAAATTACTACAATTAATTAGATTCCCTTTGTTATTTTAACGATTGATTTTTTAACAGAACGAACATCTAGACATCAACTTCGTTTTAATTATAACATGTATATGTAATTATTGGCATATTCCATCAAGTGAGAAAAGTTGTAATTCGAATACAAGTTTCATTACAGCAGTGACAGCAACGTATAATACATAATATTATATCTACACTAACTCTGTGTGTTTTTAATTAAAATGTATTATGTATACCTACCGAGTACCGGTATTACTCCACTTTTTGAGTGATAATGGAAATTACTATACTTAAATATTGAATTTCGTTTGAGAGTGTACAGATTTTCTAGTTTCAATGTATAAAACAAAATATGATGATACACAAACAACGAATTTTCATCGGGTTAATTATTTCTACTAAATTGTATCAATTTAATAACAATTTATTGTTTTCAAAACCTTGTTATTATTCCTTTCCGGAGCCTATTACAGTCTACATAATATATATATTTTTTTTGTTTAATTAACATCGACACTGTTATTTTTATTTTTATCTCGACTGTTAATGCTTATTAATGTACACTTACGAAGTTCCTGATGTCGAAGTGATCGGGAGTCCGCCTGCTGGCAGTGTCGGCTACCGGTAATATGGTGTTCACCATGTACGCATTAAAATTTAAACTGGCCAACGGTATAAATGGTTTCCACGACAGCATATTCTTCATGAAATCTTGAAAAGAAAAAAAGTGGTGAATATAAACAGTATAATATTACGATTCAAATAAGATTCGTAAAAAAAAACATCAACGAAGAAACACGTCATTTGTAGGTAGTCGCGACTGAAACAATATCAGTTGTGGGTAATTGGTTTAGAAACCCACGCTTGTCTTTAAACTTAAACTGATCGTAGGACTGTTTCAGAAAACAATTCCCAGTAAATAACCTACATAAGGATTAGAGTGACATGATGTTTAAGTTCGAAAAACCAATAATCTAAACACTCCATCTTCCGTGTGCTAGATATAGTAAACTTTTGTAGATACCGCATGGTGGGTGTTTAATTTATTATTTAAACAAAGCATTTATTTTTAGATGCTTTACGTTTACGGCTCAGAATAGATAAAAAAAAAAAAAAAAATACGATATGAATAACGATTATTATTGTAGGTATTCAATATATTATTCTTTATTACCCTCGGAAATAATAATTAAAATTGTATTTATTTGATTTACAAAAATATAGGTAGGTAGCTAATAGCTATATAGCATTGATGGTTAATATTATTTGCTGCCTGTTTACTTTTGATGGCATAGATTTTCTAAATGGACCCTATGGATGGTTGTATACTTGTATATTTGGATGAATAGTAAAAATAATTATAAAATGTAAATTTTCCTATCTAATATAAATATGATAGGTAATTTAATGTTTTATAAGCTATTATAATATGAAAATTATTTTAGGATTAGGTAGGTACATGTTTGAAATTTAGGTTAATTAATGTATGTACCTACTGTATAGATGGTAATTGCGATTTTTCGAAGGTTCTAAGCAAAGCGTATTTTTACAAAATGTAAAGAATGTTGAATTCTCTTATTCGAAAAAGTTACAATTACTCATTGAAGCATGCCAAACAAATTATTAATTACAATAGAGTTAATGAAATTTATGTACATTTAAATACATAACATTAAGATAGCATACAAGTATGCTGATACCAATTGCATAAAAAATGTTTTCGTATGTAATCTAAAAAAAAATTACGTTTTATTTATCATTAATATTACTTGCTTTTTGGGGTTGTTTTACTGGTGAATCCGGATTATTTTTAAAGGAATCTGAAGTTAACGTTTTGAAAGATTTGAACATTTATTGAGAATTTTGATAGTGGTATAACTTGGAGTTAATTTTATTATAATTTTTTTTTTTTGGTAGTGAGAGGGAGGAGGGGGTTGTGAATAAAATATAATACATATTTTTTACCTATTGTATCGAAAAATATAGTAGGTGAGGAGTTTACACCTTTCTATTCCTCAAATAATTTGATAATAATTAGTCTAAGAGTATGATATAATATATAAGTACTATAGGTATATATATTATATACTTTATAGTACTCGTTCATGAATTATTATATAATTGTAATTTTAGTAAAAATATTATATTAAGTTAGTACTTTCCTTACAATAATAGGTAATCATAACTTCAAATGTATATATAATATAAATAGTTAAATATTTAATGACTTTAGGTAACTAATTAGTAATTACAGACAACACATACAGAAAATAATAATATTCAAGTTCAAAACTTAGCATAATGCTTAAAAGTGATGGTATGCAATAAATTAGAAATTAAAGCAGTGGCAAAACGATATCTTTGGGGTTGGGAGGGCACTTTAAAATGTCAGGGAGAGATTGAGTTCCCTCTCCTTGGATCCCAGATATCAGAAATAATTTTACTTTTATATTGTATAATATTATAATTAACAACATTGAAAGATTAGGTTATCTATATAGGTAACTTACCTGTGTCCTCTATATTCCTACTATCAATAATATATATATATATATATTATAAATTAAATTATATAAATATTGTGCATTATATCAACAACCTGCATAGTTGTATAGATTATATTATAATATGGTGTTTGATGTAGGTAGTATATCTTCAGTCATGAATAATATGCACTGTTATAATTATGTTACTTACTTGGTGGTCCAATTATAAGAGCATAAAGTCCAGTGACTAGACCTGCAGCCCAAACACTCCTTATTGTTGAACCATAAAGAGCGGCTTGCAAAGGATCGTAAACGTAGGAAGGATGATAAATTAAAGCTCCACTGAACCATGTTGTTGTACATATTAGAGTAGATATTGCCAACAAAACATATGTCTGTGTCTGTTAAAATATAAATAATGGTTGAATTAAAATAATAATATATTAATTGTAGATTAGACATCATTATTAATATGTAACATACAAAAATTGTTAAATTTAATATGTCCGCATACCTAAGTCTTAACGTTTTTTTTTTTTTTTGCAACTAATTTACGGCAAGTAAGTTATACTTATTTACTTATTTTCAAGTTTAAAATATTTCTGGTTGTTGAGTATAGAGTATATTATAGACATACCTATGTATAGTTAGATCGTATTTTATTAAATTTTACTTATATCATTTAATTATGTATCTCACCAAGTTTAATTTAGTTGTACTCTCTTTTCTTCTATACAACAGATAACCAAATATAGCACCAACTATGTAAGGTCCAGCACGAGTATGAGACTTTATGTAAATTGTCATAAAATAATCATCATTGGTTGGATTTGTCGTGAAACTGAAAATACAAAGTTTGTTATTAATTTTGATTAATTATGCAAATAAACATATAATTTGGGTAATCTTAAGATAATAGGTACCTACCTACCTACTTGCTTATTCTTTTAAATTAATTTGAATATTTGAATAGATTTAAAATTTCATATCATATTATGTAAGTGTTACAAATATTTTCTCAAATTGGAAACAAAAACAAATTATTTATTTTTTCTTTTATTACATTTTCTTTTTTGCATGTAATAACCATTAAAATAGCGCTTGCCAAGTCAGGGATCGGCATGTAAACTTTCTTCATTTTTAATTTTTAGAAATTTATTAATTGATATCATACCCAAGCGGCATAACAATTTGAATCGCGAAAAAACACAAAAAATCATTTTCATTTAGTGAGATAGATCTCCGAAACCAGAGAGCGGATTTCGTTATTTGGGGTCTTGTTAGATTCACATTGTGTAGGAGAACTGAGAAGTGCAGTGAAGATTTTCAGAACTTTATCTTTAGTAGTTAATTTACTACAGAACATTAAAAAAAAAATAAAAAAATTTATTGGCCGTTGTTTGATGTTTTTTAGCTTTACAGCTTTGTAGTGAATTAAAGATTGGAGATAAAGTTCTGAAAATCTTCACTGCACTACTTCTCCTAGTCAATGTGAATCTAACAAGACCCCAAATAACAAAATCCGTTCTCCAGTTTCAGAAATCTACATCGCTAAATGAAAATCTAGCGAAAAATAATTCTTTTTTTTATCTATGAAAAATTAAAAACTTTTTTTAAAAATAATAATTCCACATTAAGTATCTACTTGATAATCCCTTTTTAATGAGTTATCGACCAACTTTCTATCTCTCATAGTTTAGGAGAAAAGTTAAAAAATAGTAATGTTGGGACTGTAAACGCCGACGTTTTTATGAATTCAAGTGGTTACACCGCTTGGGTGTGATATCAAAACTCTCTCATTATTATTTTATATTAAAGCTAGCTAAATTACCCACCTATAGTCATCATTACTGAGTTAAATTTGTATTATTTTCCTATTTAACACAAATTCTTGAAGTTTTCAAAATTCATACTTTTTTCATTTCAATTACCATACTTACTTAAATAAAAATTAAGAAAGTAAAATGTAATACGGGTTGTAAAAATTAATAAAATTCACAAAATGGCACATTACACCAAAGTGGTTATGTATAGAAAGTGTTGTGTTGTTTTTATGTCGTGTATAGTGTTCATGTGTGACGGAAATTATTTTTATTGTGTAGGGCATTGATACTCGTGGTTATATTTTCGTACAAGACCAAACCGTATGTGTCAATAATATGTTTATTATAAACAATTATAAATAAATGTTTCGTACTCTCGTCTAATGTATCGATCGCGTATACTTCTATATTAATGGTTATTAGGTAGCTATTGATATTAACCGTGGTTGCTACTAGCTACTGTTTAACCTAAATACGCGGTAAGATTATTGAAAACCGAAGACTATTTGAAATCGGCTTCCCCTCTCTTTCGGAAAGACTTAGTTTTTTGAACATTTGAATTATGCTTAAAATATAATTACCTATACAATTAAATTAAAACATCCATAGGTATTAATCAGACGCGGTACGAGCAGAAGTTTTTTGGTACCTACATAGATCGTAAATGTAGGAATAACATGTTGCTGTATAAAATGTATAAAAATACTTAATTTTTAGTATTATGTAGTAGTGAACATCAATGTCGCATACGATAAAATGTAAACACAAAGATTATTTGAATATATTAATTATAATAGAATACGTTAGTCGTTACTCGTTAGGTATCGAATATTCGCATCTAACTATTACCTACGACTTACGAGTGCTATTATACTAAATTACTATTATTATGTGATCTCTCTCTCTCTCTCTCTCTCAACTGAAAACATAGTAATTTGAAAATGCCAAGACGTTGTATATCAATACAATCAAAACATTAACAATTATAATTTTAAACTCAAAATATCATTTAGATTGATATTTTAATTACTTACAATGTGTACATTATACATAATAATATAATCTTTAGGTATTTCTCTGAAACCGGTTCTTGAAATTTATTATTTATTAAAACTAATACTTGAACACCTTTCAATAGTGTAATGTAGTTAGTTGTTAGTGCACAGTTTCTAATTACAGTTGTTCATTAACAATACTCTCCTATAAACGAAATTATTTTTGAGCTATAAATTTTTAAATCTACTTTTGTGATTCTTCAACTATGGAGTGACTCGAGGTAAAACTTAAATATAGAAAAGCATCGGTAGTGAACAATTCTTCAGTTTTACTTACTCCATGTTGAATTGAATATTTCCTGGTTTCTGTCCAATAAAGGTGAGTGCAAATGGTATAGCAATAGAAATAGCCATAAGTAAGGAAGTTAAATACATTCCAATTTTAGGCTTTTTATGCAGTACATACCCTAATCCGACACCAATTATCGTGAAGTGAAATTCACAAGGCATGAACCATGTATGATATCCACACTGAGTACAAAAATTGAGTTTAAATTTAATAAATTAACATTATATGTCTGTGTATTGTAAAGTACTTACATTACATATTATTTACATACCGTTTTATCTGTTGCGACGTAATTGTTCAAGTACAACAAGCTTAACCACCATGTTTGTTGACAATTTTTTTTGTCTGTTCCAATAAAAGCTTCCCAAAGGGGACCGGTTCCCATTTTGTACTGAAGGGTTGCAAAAAAGAATATTATCACAGCATAAACAGGCGTTAACCTAAATAACAGAATAAAACAATTATTTACATTTTTATTTTGGAATAAAACAAATATATTTTATAATTTAGGTTAATTAAATTTTAAATATTTTTAAAAATCACCTGAAATATTTAAACACCAATACTTTAAACGGATTAATGAATGAAGTTTCAAGGCGGTCGAGTAGGATTAGGATCATTAAGGCTCCACTTATGGCGAAAAATGTATCCACCAATAGGTCCATATGAGAGGTGAATATAGAAATGAAATAATTGTAGAACACCTGACAATAATTGTAACAAAAAGGGTTATAGTATATTAATATGCATGTGTAAAATTGTATTACAGTTTCAAAACAATTAATGCGTACCTGTTCATTAACTTCGTAGTTTTGTAAAGGTCCAGGTAATCGGAAACCCCATCTGTGCCCAATTATGATAAGAATCATTGATATAGTTGTAGTTCCACATAATGGGGTAAGATCCAAACCTCGGACTATACAATTTTTGTTTTTTAAACTTTGCATAGCACGCCTGCCGGAGAAACACATAATCAAATCCGCAGCTTTTGATTCTGAAAAATGTTATCATAATTGATTGTAAAAACGTCCAAGTATAATATTCAATGATTCAATATGAAAATATACTACGATCCACAGACTTCCATTGTGGACCATTTTCTTATAGATTTTAAGTTAAGACTGATGTGGGTTTTGTTATATTTTATTATTAATGATAAATTATACATTTATTAACATACCTTGATTCCATTGATATATTGTTCGTTCAGAATACACCGTGTAATCGAAAACTGTAGCAATTATAGTAAACGATAGCAAAACTACAATAAATAATCTGTGAAATAAAAATAAAATATTAATTCATTTATAAATCGTAGACCGAATAATAGTATAATATTAAAAGGAAACGCCATCACCTCACATGTAATATTTATAGTAATATGTATAATATGTATATATGTATATATGTATATATGTATATATGTATATATGTATATATGTATATATGTATACCTATAATGCTTATAAACACATATATTCCATTGTAATGAATATTAATAATTTGTGAACAAATTATGAAAAGATTAACAACAAAATAACTGTCAAATGCTTGGTTAATGTACTGCTTAATGTTTAAATTAAAATCATAGAATCAAATTATTTTTACACTGTAAGGTATACGGTATACCTATAATAACTTGGCCGGTGGCGAACAAAAGCTAATTATGAAAACAATAATTATGAAATAACCAATTTTTCGAATTAATATTTTGTTAAATTAACAATACCTTTCTTGTACAGCTATACTATAAAATATTGTTTCAGTAATTTAATATCGATTTTTGTAATTGCTTAAATTCACTAAAAATAATATAATTTACAAATTATACAAATTGTATTTACCCATGTTAATATAATTTATTGAAGTTAAATAGTTTGAATATATTTTTTTCTTTATATTATGCATTTTTAATTTACCCTTATAACTTTATTTAATATAGTAAATCACTTTAAAGTATTGATTTTATTTTATATACCTGTATAAATGTATAATTCATTCAAACCATTTAACATTAAACAAAAAATATTAATATGTATAAAAAAAATAATGTTAAAATATTTAATTTTAAATATACATAAACAATTTAAATCGAGTCATTGAACAGTTTTCTCCGCCATTATGCATAAACATGGGATGAACATAATTCTTTTTTTAATATAATATCATATAATATACTTATTATAGGTACAACTTATTTGTGAATACATTTTATTTTATAACCTACCTATTTTTACCTACTTTTAAAATGTTTTCTTTTATGTGAGTACTTTCTATAAAATAACGTTAACAATTATAATATAAGCAGACTAAAAATTAGTATTTAAAAATCATGGTTTATAATAATTGTCACCAAATGAACAAAAATTGCGACGGACGCATTGATACTTTTTACCATTGGAGCTTAAATTAATATAATGTCATATCAATAATTATTGTTTTATTTGTTCTACTAATATTTCTTAAATAAATATCATGAAAAGCTGCAGTCTACAGGTAGATGATTATGATATGCGTACAGGGACGGATTGGGCCATAGGGAAATCGGGAAATTCCCGATGGGCCGCGTACTAAATAGTAAAAAGTAGGTAGACGTAAATATAATCTAATTAATCTAATTATATGTTAGTAAAATATATTACCATTGATTATAGATTATTCATTCAATGATATTACGTAATAACAGTCTATAATATTATAACTTAAAAAGTTATAAATTTTGATAATACAAGTATACAACGTCTACAACAGAAACTGAATAATAATATTAATCATCAATAAATATAAAAAATAACTGTTATCAAAAAATCAACTTCAGTGGACAGTAAAATTTTGACGATACAAGTCGATAGAAGTTAATATGAATACCTAATAAGAATATTTCTATTTGAAATTTATATTATTTATATTTAAATATCAATCGTCATTCAAAACATCGATATCAGCACTCGGCAGTCAGCAGTTCATCACAATTTGGTTAATTTTACAATTAAATTACCAAGTACTTAACTAGGAATAATTCATAAAATATTTTATATTACAATAGTAATAGTTGCGAATTATAAAATAAAATGGAAATGGATGGATCACACTGTAGTAAAAAACAAAAAGGAGGAGGTGAAAAAATTTGAAACAAAAATAATAAAATAGGTACTACTTTTAGAATCCAAGGCTTCTAAAAGCATTAAATCATTTTTCAAGTCTCAGAATAGCGAAGTGAGTTTTAGCTGAAGATTGTCATTATAATAATAATATATTAAAAATTTAAAATATTAAACTGTTCCTGTAGTTACTAAGTACAATAATCTACAATTTATTTTATCGATAAAATTTCATTAAGAATGAGAGAAAAAACATATTTTGCAAAATACTTAATGCAATAGGTACCTATTTTTTTTTTCTTATATGAAAATATACATTAAATTATTTTATTGTGATATTCAACTGATACTTTTAAAAATTGTAGATAATATTTATCTATAAGTATAAATTATGATTTATCGATTTAATAACAAGGCTGGGCAAATTAATTAAGTTTTTTTAACTCAGTTTGTAACTTAACTTAAACTTTTAACTCATTAATACCCATCCTGGTATAATAATTATTAAAAAAATTATATAAAAAGAGAGTTAAAGAGTTAAAAAAATCGTTCATTGTAAATTAAACCAGTTTCATCATTTATTCAAATAAAAAAAAATTAGGTATTACCATTTTATTATGTAACATTTATGTGTAGGTAATACTACTGTTATTCCATTATTGTTATTTTAGATTCTGAGTGGAACGATGAATGTATTGATTTTACAATGATGTGTGTTTTTATATATTTTTTTTAATTTTTTAATTTTT